AGCTTGTGCTATAGCAGCAAATGTGTGAAGACCCACATTTCACTATGCTGTTAATATTCTAAGAATGCGTGCAGTAACAGCTGATTTCTGAAGCATTAAAAACAAAAACATCATGTTCATGAAGACAGATAAGCATTGGACGAAAGGCAAACGCCCAGCACATCAGTAAGTGTTCCATAAAAAAAAGTACTTCAAGAACTGAGTTCATTTATAAATTACAAAGACCTCAGAAATAAACTATACAATCATATTATACACACATATATTATGTATCGACATAATTATGAAACGATAACTTATAAATTATAAACCTTTAAGCCTTTAGCAAACAGTTTTGTTACAAAGAAGAAGAGCAACTTTGTGAAAATGGGTATGTACCTTTGCCCTGCTTCTTGTCAGGACAGTGATAAAATTTACCTTGATTCTACGTAAACACAAGAGTCTTCTCTGCAGTTAATCTTACATTAGCAACCTGTCCAAGGTATGACACTGAGAAATAGGTATGTTACATATATTTTTACTAGTTGTATTATTTTTTAACAAAGCTTCAGAGGTGTACATCAATATGGAGATAAGGGTCTGACTTTTTTTATCTATTTCTACTCTCATCATGCACAAACAAATGAAAAAGGGCTTAGATAAACTATATTAAACAAAACCAGATTGAGTTGGAATGTTGAGTCAGCATAAAATCTGCTTTTACCTTATATCCTCACTAAAGTTAAACAGTTAAGGCTGCAGTGTAACACCAAACTGAGAGATGAGACACAAATACAAAGAAAAACATCCACAGTGCAAGAAATATGTTGCGAAATTTTTATTTAAAGCATGTGAAGGCTTTACTTACAATTCTTCTCCTTGTTTTGCTTTTCTGTCAGAAACCAAATACACACTTCCAAAGCTCCCATTGCCAAGTTTCCTCTGAATAGTGTATCTTCTTGCAATCACTCCATCTCGGCAAGCAGAATTAAATCTGGCAACAGCGACATGCTTAGCAGTTTCTTGAAATTTCAGCATTTCTCGGTGTAGCAAAAACTACACAAATTTCTCTAGAATGTAGCTTTCAAATCCCTTTACTCTTCTATGGATGTTCACAGAAATCACTTGAAACAGAAAAAAAATTGATTTGTCAACGTATTACTCTTACTAAACTTTTCATTTAATTCTATGGCAGCGCTTTAGTGCTTAGCTGGCACCAAACCACAAATTAAGTAGAATTGCTAGCTGTTAAGCTCTGGGCAGCAGACTTGATAACCAAACTACAGATACTGTAGATGTGACATAGTCAGTCTCCCTCTAAAATAACCTTAAATTAACTCACTGAACTGATAACATAGGGGAAATGACATGCAGGTGCTTATTGAAAAGCTCAGGTGCTTTTTGCAATGACAACTACAGCTGTATTTCACCTGACAATTCCCCTAGATATGGCAACTCTTCCTCAATATCTGTCTTTATACCACCACAGTACCTGACACCAAAAATATCTGTGTTCCAGGATAAAAGTTTCAAGATTTTTGTATATACTGAAGCATAACCTCCATCCATAATTTGAGTTCTCTCCCATCAACAACTCCTAAGCTGTTTTATCTGTTCTTTCACTTATCCGTCAGATTTCACCATCTGTTTCAGTGCTGACCTCACAGCTCTCTGTGATTCAGTGATATCTTCTGCAAATTAAGAGTTTTGTGGCTACATGCAAGCCTATGAGACTTTCAATATAACCCAATCCTTCCAAAAGTTCTTAATTTCTCCTCTGCTCTGTCCTTTCATGACCCACCTCTCTAACAATCTAGCTTTGGTTTGGAGTTCTTGTCTAATTGAAGTCCTAATTCTACAAACAGAGGGACTGCAAAGGCAAACCTCTAATGTGTCTATGGTTTTCAATAACTGAACATGAGTTTAGAGTAACTTTGTTTACTCAACCTTCCTCATTGCAGATGATAAAGGGTAGGTGTTTCACTGCATATAATACAACAATATTGCTTTCATTACCTTGTCTTTATATAATGCTACCTGAGTCATTTATGCCTGAGGATCCTTTGGAACAAATAAAGATATTGCAAGATCAGTGTTAATACTACTATTTGTCAGCACTGCCTGAGCTGCAATGCAGCATGCCCACACTAGGCTTGTTCACTATTTCATTTTAAGGTGAAGGCAAGCACATAAAAATGCACTCATTTTGTTATTGTTTTGGAAGAACAAACACAAACTGTTTAATTTTAAAAGTTATATAACTTTAGGTTTCAAGTCACTGGCTTCTCTTCCAAACAAATGCAGAGCCTAAATTAAGATTACAAATTTGTATCTTGCAACAACAAACTCTGAGAGTGTGTGTGTGTGTATGTGCAAATGCTAAAGAAAGAATGTCAGCTTTCTCTGAAATCTGTCTGAAGAAACATAAATGGATCACATTGAGGTGTGGAGAGGAGAGGGTAGGAAGATGAACTCCATAAAATATTACATTGCCAATTCTAGAAAGTTTACATATTATTTTCATTTACTATTTTCCTAGTTGCTGTTTTATGCATGCCTTCATAAACGCCTTTTGAAATAACTACACTTAGAAAAAGTGCTGAGCTATCTATACCTATTTTTCAAGAGAAGAGTCACTTGGCACAGCTCACCTTCAAATTTTCATTCTTCCTTGGGCCCCAGGAATATATCACAATCCTTTACACCACGATATCACGCTTAAGATCAAGTAGCCCATTGAATGTAACTTCTGTGCTTTCTTATAATGCCTCTCACCACCTACTCTATGCTTCAATTCCCCTCTCTATATAATAATAGTAACTTTGTGAAATGCTTTGATATCTACTGCTGAATAGTGTTATAAGGCAGGAGACAGTGATTGCCATTGGGGCATCACAGGCACATTTTAGTGGCACAGAAAGGGTGGATTGAAAGAAATACCCTGTATGAGTCAATAGACTGACTCAACTACAAGACTGACTGATATTTCAAGTGCATGTACCAGTAGCCTCTCCTACCTCACTCAAACCTTTAGCCCAACCTTCCTTGTAGTTCTCACCAGTGTCCATCTTCTCCCACTGAGCAGGTATTTCCCAAGCAGCAGTATCAATTGTTTCATTAAAGTTCAGAACAACTAAAGATAACTCAAAAAACCCCAATTCCTCAGCTCCCTTTTCCTCAAAAATCCCAGTATACCCTATTCAGTAACACTGGTAAACATTTATGTTCTAAATTTTGTCCCACCCACCCACCATCACCAAGTCCCATCCCAGAGTCTGGCAGACTGCTGATGCCAACCAAAATAATGCAATGACGTTTTCTGGATCACTTTTTTAAAAAAATACTTTCTTCCTTGGCTGGAGTTAAATCTTCCTTTTTGAGCTGTAAGCTAAAAGAAAGTTGTTGTTTAGGGTTTCATAGTTCCGCCTACACATGCTAAGCACAAAGCACCTCAACTTCTTCCCTTTCTTAGTTTATTTAAGAAAGATTAACCTTCTGGTTTCTTTAGCAACAGCTAACATACTCTGACACTTTCTGCTTCCAAGACAAACCCTTCTTTGCCAATCAAGGCCATTTTCCAGTTCTATCAGGTTTTCTTTTTATTCCATAAGAACCACTGTGCTACATCAACATTTGCCACCTCCCACCACCTGCAGCACAAATTCCAGAGTTTTTATATTTAAGCTCTAAATAGTCTCAGTACCTACTACTTTGAATTTTTTTTCCTGCCAGTGACTTCACTGGCCCGCTCCTTTAAATGTTACGGAAAATAAAAAAAACCCAAGATTTTCCTTGTTTTTTCTTTTGTTAAAAAACAAAAAAACCCCAAACCAAACAAAAACACTTCTTAATGCTGACTCCACTATTATTTTCGGCAACATCTTTATAAACTCACCCAAGCCTAAAGTAACATAATCTCATTTGGCTCAGTTTTTTACTGAGAGTTTTTTATCCAGAGAAAGGATAATTAAGATTTTATTAGCAGCGCCGGTAGCAAAGGAGCTTGAGGGTGATGGTAAAACAAGGTCAAATGTACTCAACTATCAAAGAAGATATTTAGAATCTGACGCACATTAGGGAAGCCGAGATTCCCTGGGATAACCTGAGAGATGTTATTACCTTGTTAAAAAACCGTGTGAGACTCAAAACGCACGTTCCGAGGGTCGCCCGGCTCCCGTCACACAGAGGGGCGACGGCGGCGTGCCCTGACTCCGTCCCCTTTCCTCACCCCTCTGGGACAGGTGGGACTGCTCGGGACCCACGAGCAGG